AGAGAGAGAGAGAGAGAGAGAGAGAGAGAGAGAGAGAGAGAGAGAGAAGGAATATACGCGCAAATCGTACGCTTCCCACTCAAACATCACAAAACTTTTTACGCTCTTCAAAGTAGTTTGTGATTCGTCGTCGCCGTCGTCGTTGTTGTTGTTGCGCTCGTGGTTGCTGTTCTTTTTTGTTCTGTTGCGTGTATGTGATTTTTCGTTCGTTTTCATCGTGCGTTTTATCCATGGATTTTGTGGTATTTCATTTGATTTTTTGCAGCTGCCTCTGCTGCGACTGTTGCTGTTGTTGTTTCATTTGGGTTCGTATAATGAAATTATATTGACAGGGCTCATGGACGCAAAGTAGCAGAAAATGTTTCTCGACAAAAGACCAGCTTCTGCTTCGACTTTATAAATGGGAAAAAATTGCTCGACAGCCAGAAGACGATCGCAACAAAAAAGAGACCGTGAGACGAAGAACCGAGCGTTGGGTGCAATCACATCTTGCACACAGAGCAGACACATTCTCAATCCGCCAATAAATTTATGAAATAAATTGATATTTCAGTCGTAGCAAGTTAAACTTAGTTAGAAATGATTGGAAAAGGGCTACAAATATAGCAACAAGAATATACGCAACAATTTGCCATCTGCCTCGTCAAATTTGCATTTTTCTTCTCTCTCTCTCTCTCGTTTTTTCCTTCATTCGCTTGACTTTTGACGACACCGCTTCTTTTCCCATTGATCCGGAGCGGTTGAAGTTGCTTTTTTGCTCATCTTCGATGATTGCATTAGAATCCGCCTCGAGTTTGGTTCGCCACTTAGACGTAACGGTAACAAATTTATTTGTCAATGACAACACTGGAAATGGCAATACATTCTTTTTTTCTTCCTCTGTCAGCCGGTTCATGTGCTCATGGCCTTGCCTTTATCAACTGCACCAAAGCGAACGTGAATGCGCGTATAATGACCTAAGTTTATTATAACGGCTGTTCGAGCAGATAATATGAAGGAGTGTGTGTGTGTGTATGTTTGGCGATGAGAAAATGAAAATAAATGCAGATGAATATTTTGTGTCGCTGGAACTCGATATGACAGCGACCGATTGCCCAAAAAAAACAGATCCGCACAATTAACGAACGTCGTGCAATTTTTTTTTAGACGCATTTGGCTTATGCTAGATAAAAACGAGCAAGTCCGCTCGTAAGAGAGAGAAATGAATATACGCAAAATGCAAATATTTTGATGGTTCAGTCTATTCATATGCGTACTTCGTCACTTTTTTTACGTTCTAGAGAAAAAAAAAACGATTTTTTTTAAATATTTTAGAACCTGCAAAGAGACAAATATTTGTCAGAATTCGCAGACAGTGTCGCATATTTGTGCAAATGAAACTTAAGCCATGGATGCTTTTTTATCAATCATTCGTCCTTTATTCGAATTTTTCTAACAGGCGAAATATGTTGAAACCATATTTTTGTCGTCACGTCAAACTTCACCAAAGAATTTTGCTCTCAATGCGACGACGCTTTTTATGCACGAAATGAAGATTCACTTGATCGCAGCCATCAAATTTATTTATTTCACATGCATAATTTGATGCGTTTGTTTGAGCCGTTCTTTTGCTTTGCCGAATTTTCGTCATATTTGTCAATTGTTATCGCCACATTTTTCTGTATTCATTGCTAATTCCATTCTGCATGTGGGATCAACACTATCATTTGCAATTGCGCTATAAATTTGCAAGTAACCATGTAAATTTAAGTATCTGCAAAGTATTTCTAATCGATTTTTGCATTATTACATTCCATTTGGATGGCGCTGGCGCACTCATTCGCATCGAATGTCTGGATCGCATGTTGTTGATAATGCTAAAGCAAAATTAATAAATTGAAATTTCGAAACATAACTTCTTTCAAATGTGACAAGTTGCAAACATCGAAATCCCAAAAAAAAATTAACAAATTTTAAAATGGTTGATTATTGCTGGCACTCGGACTGATATAGTTGCTTCATTTGTAGATATATTCTTAAATTTGAGAAGATGGTCTTGGTAAATGATGCTCACAGTGTTTGCTGTGAATGACCTATTTTTTGTTCTTTCCATTCGAAAATATTGTTGACTGTCGAATGGTACTGTAAAATGTGCTCTCATGACAAAGGCAGCGAAATCATGAATGATAATAGCCACAGATATGCTTATGCGAGGATTGATGGAAATGTTGAGAGACTGTTCAGTTTGGGCGTTCTGTGTGTTGCGTTTATTGTTCTTTACAGTTTCGGTCGGCTCCTTATTTTTCTCGACAGTTGAACGCGTAGGAGCGACAGACCATGGATTTGACTTGAAGCACACACAAACTTTGATACAACGTGAAAAGAAAAGCAACCGAAAAAATATGAAGAATAAGAAAAGCGAAGACGAGAAAAAAAAGTGATTTTGTGAAACGACTGTGACCTCTGATAAGCAAATGATTGTGCTGTGTGTGTGTACGTGCCCTCGTTGATGTTACATACGTCAGATAGTCAAGCTTCAGAGAGCATTCGGTAAAACTTGCTCATATTCTAGGGGAATCACTCACTTTCCAAATGGTGTGAATCTTATGAATATTTCTGAATCTTTTGCTCTTTGAAATTCAAGATGGCGACAGAACTGTCAAATTAGGATGCATTTGATTCACTCAGATTCGTAACATTTGTCCGTATTCATCACGATTGATTTACAGTTTAATGGTGAATCTGTGTGAATCTTTTGGTTTTGAATGTATGTATTAGAGTTTGTTTGAATTTGAAAAAAAGGCATGAAACATACAAGCTGCATTGAATGCTAAATCCGCCTAGTTCATATTACAAACTTCAAACAGGGCGAAAGAGCGTAAGAGAGTTTAACCAAAATCTCGTTCCATTTCTGAAGTTATTCCAATGATGTTATACTCACTGGGGACGTGGTGAAATGCGATATAGCACCAGTATATACGACAGCGAAAACCATTCCGAGCCAAATATATTCGTATATATGTATTGCATATATATTCCAGCCTTTTAACGAGCATATTTTTTTAATATCTATTTACATTAGAGTTCTTGGAAATTCATCAGCACGTTGAGTACACAAAAGTATGAAAAAGGAGGAGAGAGAAAGCAGAGAGAATAAAAAATATATATAAGAAAATTTGCACACGAGAAATTTCAATAAATTTTTGAAACTTAATTTTGCCCGTTGCTTTGTATGCTTTCGCATTCACAATGCTTGCGGCACCATTCGTCTTTGCTACTTTGAAAATCTAGCTGATTGTTGCCGCCTTGAACTTGTTTTCTTTCCTCTTTTTTTCGCTTTCTCTCCCACTCGTTCTGTTCGCTTTTCTTTTGCTCTCCGTTTGCTGTTGCCTTTCGCTGACTTTTCCGATTATAATTAAGTGAATTGATTCGACGGTCTGAGATTTTGTTTGGAATGCGTGCAAAAGTTGGGCACATACGGTGTGCGCGGCGCAACAGTTCCAAAGCAAAGAAAAAAACTTCTTCGCTTTCAATGGCGGTTCACAACTTTTCTCTCTCTCTCTCTCTCTCTCTCTCTCTCTCTCTCTCTCTCTCTCTTTCTCTCTCTCTCTCTCCATCCCTCTCTTTTCCGAAAAATGGAAAAGTTTTAAATTTTCTTTTAAACAGCATTTTGAGTTTTCAAATGCTTTCGTCGGTGAAAAGAATTCTATGGCAAAACAGATAAGGTCGGACGTCAAATATCGAAATATTCGATGGCTACAATCGCTTGTGACTTGAATTTGCATTGCAAAAAGAAAATTGTTCGAAAGAAGCGAAAAACTTTTCCATTTTCCAGCGAAACAACAACAAAACGTTGCAAACAAGTTCGATTTCCGCTCGATGCGAATTATATTGATACATTGAT